ACTGGAATGTGCACCGGAGTCACCCGGAGAGCTCATTAGAACAGGCCGCTGGCTCAGGAGCTCGGCAGGGCTGGGAATGTGCACCTCTCACAAGGCAGAGAAGGCCGCACGTGAGGACATCGCCATCCACAGCCACATGGCATCAGGGAGAGTCCACCTCGGCCCCTGACACCACCTGCACTGCAGCCTCGGAGCCTCGCTTTCTTATTTCCTTCAGCTTATGGCTGAAGTATCTTATCAGACTGAGTCTTCGCCAGCGGAAGGTAACAGCCCCCCTCTCCCCGAGCAAGGCCCAGCCAGGTCACTGCAGGGGTGGGGGTGGGGGTAAGAGAAGCCTGCCACGTCCCGGGCTGCCAATCAGCTTTGCAGGCCCCTCTTAAATATGAACAGAAAAACACATACAGCCAGACCGTCCAGGATGATACCTAATACAGAATACAGACACCTCAACAACGATACAAAGATGAAGATTAAATTTTCCTTTATTAGATTTAATGGTGATATGTGATCAAATTAAATGACAAATTTCACTTGCAGTTGTCTTGTTTTGTTGTTTTTTGAGATAGAATCTCACTGTGTAGTTCAAACTGGACTTAAATTCACTATGTAGCCCAGGCTGGTCTTGAACTCACTATCCTCCTGCCTCAGCCTCCCAGTGCTGAGATCACAGGCGTGTGTCACTATGTGCAGCTACTTATGATATATTCTTTTTAACAGATTCCCTTAGCAGATTCCCTACACTTTTGCCTATTTCCAAAGGGATCGGCATGTTCAATCTACAGTTATGTCAGGCAAAAGCTGGGTGATGCTCAAGAACAATGTTTTCAGAAGTATTTTCTCTGAGGTAAGCAGGCCAAAACCTCACTTTTCCCGGCAATGTTATCAAGTTGCTTAAATGCCTGAATGTGTATTCATCAGAACAAAGTTCACATTCCAACTAGTGAAACTGGAGCCACCTTTAACTCCCATTCTAATAAACTTCTTCCTCACATGCTGCTACTTTCATCTTTGGAAGCCTCTTCCTTATTCTCTTAACCACCAAAACCTCGGGACTGAGTTCAACCCAAGTAGAAGGTTCTTCTTACTTCGAAGAAAATGGAAGTGGGAAAAGATGGCAGTGAGAAATGAGTGGTAACTTCACTAATGTCAGAGCCTTAAGAAAGCTCTGTATGTTGTTTCTGTCTCGTTATGTTAATGAGCGCACCTGATCGTACTGCAGGTGCACGCCAAGATCGCGTGGGACAGGCAGTGCTCAGCCGTCACTAACCCTCATTATGTAACAAACTATTGGGATAGGAAAATAAATAGACTAAGCTTTAAATATTTTATCACAATTTCATTATTAGATATTTTTGAGAACCAGAATTTCCTAGCACTGAAGCTGTTGGATTCATCCTGTGGTTCCTACATTTCACAGTCATAATATTACACTTTCAAATAAAGTCACTAGACCTTTTCTTTTTGGCTAGCTTTATCCATCTAGATCCTACTGAGAATGTGGTGTCACCGAATTATTAAACTTTCTTTCCTATCATATAACTGGTAAAAGACACCTCCCATGCACTCCTGGGTTTGAGGATTCTGTTGAGAGTAAAGATGCAATTTCACTGCAATAATCCCATAAACTGAAGCTTGTCCACTGAATATGACACCTTCTAAATGTTTTCAGACAAGGCTAAGATATTTGACAGTACATTTTTTGTTTTGATGTTTTTAAATGCATTTATCATTTTATATTATTACTTGAGAAGAATTTGGCCTTAAACCTTTGATCCCAAACTGTAGTAACAGAAACATGTACCTCGCCTTCAAGAAAGCAAAAAAGTAACGAACTTCCATCTCCACACTAGCTTTTACTACCACTTTTAGTATCTACTCTAAAGTCAGGTGACAGGATTTTCATAGCATGTATCATATAAGAAACGCTGGTGCCCTCCAACGGTGCCGTCCATCCTTCCGGCTACTTCAGCAGGCTCCGGTGGAGAACCGCTTTCTCTACGCCCGCTGTGCTGGTAACTGTTCCCTGCAGTGTGACATTAAGGCTCTTCTGGTCACACAACTCTTAAATGTAGAACCTCTCCATCTTGTTTCAGTATCTTATGGCAGTAATTTGCAAGACAGTTGAAAACTTCCCCTGCATCATATATTTTCCTTAGTGTCAGCTATGTTTGCCTCCTGGAATCTGGACTCAGGGGTGCTCCAGATCTGCTCAAGGCTCAAAGGGTCTTGCCCGGGTTTTCCTTCAGCTACCACCTGCCCGGGCAGGGAGAGTGTGGGCTCAGGGCTGCACCCACTTGAGGTCTGCACCTCTCCTCTCCCGCTCCCAGCCAATCCACACGGATCACGTGGAAACGGGGTTTTATCTTGAGTTGGTTAGCTTGTTGTATAAATTTAAATTATGTAGATACACGTTGTAAGAAAGTCTACTTGCTAAAGCAAACCTATCTAGAATGCTTCACATGACCTTATGATCCTGATCCAATCTGAGAGTGACCGAACAGTTTTTTCTTCCCGTCATCTGCTGGGGCCAATGCAGTACTCTTACTCAGGGTCAGGCTCGCTCATCACCTCCTCAGAGGTCTGCTCTACACGTGTAACCTAAAGCGGCCCTTGCAGAGCTGGGCCTGGTGGTGCAGGCCTGTAAGCCCAGCACCTGGGAGGCTGGGTCAGGAGGATAAGGAGTTTGAGGTGAGGATGGACTGCACATAAGTTCAAGGCCAGCCTGGACTATGCAGCGAGAGCCAGTCTCAAAACAAAAACACAAAACCAAAACCAAAACAAAAGCCCTCCTAAGTCACTCTGAGTCACCCTACCCTGCTTCACTTCCTTCACCAGCCTTCCCGACCCCTGGACTTTTCGTGGACATTCCACAGCAGCAGGGGCTTGCCTGCCTTGTAGATGGATGAATTCTTATTTTATTCCAGGGGCTGGGGTGATGTAGTTTATATGCAAATTATCCAAGATCTGGCCAGTATGTTGCCCTGCATCTTTGTGGAAGCATTCCTTTGCTTTTTGGCAGGATAAGACATTCCAGGTTCATCTTACACTCTCCTGCTCCGGGCCAAGGAAGTTCTACAATTCTCCAGTCCATTTAATATTCAGCAGTCACAGTGATGGCATGCTAGATGCTAGACTAAAGTGAATTTACCGAAGTAATTCTCCCTGGTGAGACTGGACTCTCCCAAAGGGCTTGGCCAGAATTCCTGGACATCATCTCCAGCCTATCAACTGACCACAGGGAGAAGCAACAAGATTGCATCCGCAAATAGTATTTCTGAAATAGTGAACACCAGAAACTTTACATATTAAGTGCCAAAAATACTTTGTACTGGGGTTGAAGACCTTAGCCGGAATTTCAATGACCTAATCTATCTAAAACATTGGTAATTGCTAGCATGTCCAGGCTTGAAGACCATCCCTACCTGAGGAGGCTGGTGGGTTTGTGTTACTGGGTATCTGCTGGCTTTATAAAGTGTAACTCAGTTGTCCCGGCAGGGAAAAGGGAAATCCCTGGAACGGGACTTAACCCATTCTACACAGCTCTGTGGCCTGGGAACAGTCACTTAGCCTTTCTAAGCCTCAGTTTCTCCCTTGCCAAGCAGGAATGGCAGTGTTGCTGGTGGGTACCCCTGTAAAACAGCTGGCACGGGGCCTGGCACACAGTGAAAGCTCATGAGTGCCAGCTATTTCGCCGAATTCTGTGGCTACCTGGCTTCTGTTTGTAAGGGAGCAGTTCAGAAAGTTTGACAGTGCACACAAAGCATTTCACCTTACCTGAAAAAACCAAAATGCTGTCTGATTGCTCAGCTGACTGGGGGCTGGCACTGACTGAGCAGATCTTCACTGAAGCGACCTGCTCACTACCTTTGTGTTTTAACCTGGTTTCACAATGCTAAGCCTAAAAAGAATGTTATAGCAATGTCCTCCTGGGCTTCTGAAAGTAACTCAGAAGCCTGCTTGTGGCAGTATTTAAAAAATGTTAAACTTAAAAAAACAAAAAAACTCCTGAGTGACAATTTAACAATCTGTGGCTACAACACAGAAGTGCAGATCTTTTCCAAACATTAATTTATAATCCTAGAATTTGTCCTAAAGGAAAGCACAAACACGTATTTGTAAGAATATTCATCACTATTGCTTATAATAGCAGAATATTAGCAAGAGTTATGGTGAATTAAATTGTGGTAGAGGTGTAAAACATAAAAATACATAAGTCAAATAAAAATAATGACACGGATCTATACTACTCATAGGATAGATTTTTGTGATGTATTTTAAATGGAAATAACAGATTACAGAAGAATATACAGGACTCTGGTTCTTCTTTAAAATACACAGTATGGCCAGGTGTGGTGGCACAGGCCTGTAATCCCAGCACTCAGAAAGCTGAGGCAGGAAGACTGGGATGACTTCAAGGCCAGCCTAAGCTACACATTGAGTTCAAAGCCAGCCTGAGCTATATAGCAAGACTCTGTCTCAAACAAACGAAAATATACAGTATGTATGTATGTATGTATTCCGATATACCTAAGCACATGTATAAGTACAACAGAATGTATACCAAAATATTAATAGAGATTATGTCCAGGAAGAGAAATAGAGGTAATTCTGCATTTTCTTCTGTATACCTTTTTTCCTGTTCTTATTTTTATAATAAGCGTATAGTATTTTTACAATCACAAAAAGTAAATACTACCCAACCAACCACAGAACCACAAGGAATTTCAATGATCTAATTTATCTAAAACATTGGTAATTGCCAGCATGTCCTGGCATCAAAGGAGGCAAGTATATTACTTCTTCTCGTGATAAAGATAGCCTGTCATTCTCAGATTAGACAATCCGGAGTTTTCAGGCTGTAATACCAGTCATAACTACGTAGCACATCTCTGAGGTTCAGAAACATATCCTACAGGAGAAAAACTATTTCCCTGATGCATGTTTTTTTAATGGAGAGGAAGCAGGACGAGTGAGAACACACGCAGGCAGAGAAAACTTACTGCGGTGGATAACCTGGATGCCAGCGTCATTTCCAAATTGCCTTTGAGGCCAAGAAGTGCAGGAACTAAGATGAAAACTTCTGTTACGTTTTTGAACACTTCCCAGTGCTGTAAAAAAGATTAAAAAATAGAAAAATTTCTAAGACTCTTAAAAATGACATTAAAAGAAAGAGATTTCTAAAAATTCTAGTTTCTTTTTCCAACTTTGTGCCTACATTTGGAAGTGCTGCACAGGGAACATTCAGCTTGATCCCAGCCTCCTGAGCTCTGAAGCACAGACAGAGTCACTTTGGGAAACTCAGACTGGGGTGACAGTTGACAGTCACCACAGCCATTCTACACATTACACAACCCCGAAACCTGCAGTGTGACTTTATCACGTCATGACAGAATCGCAGTCAAGTGAGTGGTTCCAAGCGCAGGCTCGAGAACCAGACCACCTGAACTGGAAGCCTCGATCCCGCGAGGGTTACCCTGCTTCACTCTGCTGGCTGCTCTCTTTGCTGTACAGAAGCTTTTCAATTTGGTAAAATCCCATTTGTTGATACTTCATGTTATTTCTTGTGTAATCGGGGTTCTGCTCAGAAAGTCCTTGCCTACTCTTATGATTTCAAGAGTTTTACCCATTCTTTCTTTCAGCATTTAGAACTTTGATCCATTTTGATTTTAATTTAGCATATAGTGAGAATTCTGAGTCTAGATTCACTCTTCTGTATGTTGATAGCCAATCTTCCCAGCACCATCTGCTAAGTAAAAGCCCCAATCAAACAACAGGCAAGGAAAATGAATAGACAGTTTCAGAAGAAAAACTACAAATGACCAATAAATACATGAAAAATGTTGAGCAGTGCTGGCCATTAGGGAAAGGCAAACTAAAACAACACTGAGACTCCCTCTTACCCAGAGGGAACGGCCCTCATCACGAAATCCAATAGAAACAACAAATGCAGGTGAAGCTGCAGGGTGAAAGGAACCCTTCCACATTGCTGGTGGGAATGTAAACTAGTAGAGCCACTATGGAAACCAGTGTGGAGATTCCTCAAAAACCTAAAACTAGGAATTCCATGTGACTTAGCTGTTCCCTTCTAGGAATCTTCAGAAAGAGCTAAAGACATCGTATTACAGTGTCATACTTACTTTTCTCCTTGCCGAGACAAACTACCCAACAGCCGAAAGTTAGAGGAGGAAAGGTTTATTTTGGCTCACAGTCTGTAGAAGTTTCAGTCCGTAACTGGCTGGCAGGGTGGCATCAGAGGAGAAACAGTTCATGGCAGGCAGAAGGTAGCAAAGTAACACAGGACAAACACAGCTCTTTTTTTTTTTTTTTTGGTTTTTTTCTCCGGTACCGGGAACCGAACTCACGACCTTGTGCTTGCCAGGCAGGCGCTTTGCCGCTGAGCTAAATCCCCAGCCCCAACACAGCTCTTTTTATCCTTTGTATCTTATCCAGGTTACATAGGGCAGGCAGCATTCATACCCTTAGTCCTAGTGCCCTTGATCCTAGCATTGAACATGAATCAATTCCAGCATCACACACTTGATCTAGCCACCTTTGGAAAAAAAAAAAAGCCTCATCTATGACTGCATAAGGCTTTGAGGTGACAGCCAGACACAAGCCAAAACATACAGTGATCCACGCATACCTACATTTATAGCACCACAACTCATACTAGGTGTATCTTGGAAGCAGCCTATATGTCCATCAATAGATGAGTAGATAAAGAAAATGTAGTATTTATAGCTGATGGAATATTACTTTGCCATAAAGAAGAGTAAATCTGAGTCATCTGTAGGAAAACGGATCCTGAATTTGTAATATTAAATGAAATAAATCAGATACATACATTTAAATATGGCTTCTTTTATATGAGAAAACCAAAGTATAAATAAAGAACAAAATAAAAGGTAACAGGAAACGGAGATAGATCTTTTGCAAATGAAAAGACAACTAAGGAGGGAGAGAGGAAGAGGAGGGAATTAAGACATGTGATGTGCGCCAGCTATCTGAATTAACTGTATATCACAAACGGGTACTAATACGACCAAAAAAACAACATCACCAGACAATTACACTACCATTATTTAATTTCACAAGTAAAGGAATAAAGATTAAGAAAGGTAACGATTGTTCCCAAGACCAAAGGACAGGGCCAGGAGCTGAGCTCAGGAGTCCTGAGCATCCTATGTTCCGGTCCCCATTTTAGAGAACAAAGCCGGCAGGCTGCAGAGTGCAGGGACGTAAGAGCCACGCTGAGCTGGAAAGAGCACTTGTGCTTCTAGGCAGGGAGAGTCATAACTTGGCTTCCAGACCCTGGATGAGTCACATCATCTTACCGTAATGAAATGAAAATAAAAACTGCTGTCTGGTCCTTGGAGAAATACCATGACAATGACAGTAACAGATGTAACAGTGCTTTATAGACTGAAAAGACCATGTAAACATTAAAGTGACATTTAACAAATGCTATTATGTGGTAACTAACACTGAGTGTGGTGTGTAAGGTAATCCCACCTACCTGAGAGGCTGAGGCAGGAGAACTGCAGGCTGAGGACAAGACCAGCCTATACAAATTAGTGAGACCCAGTCTCAAGCCATGAAAAGGGCTGGGAATGTGGTTCAGTGGTCGAATGTGTGCGGCCCTGGGTTCAACCCCTCATACCTCCAACAAGTAACAAGAGGTATCTATCCCAGGAAGAGACTTTATGAACTAGGCACATGAGCTTCACGACTAAAAGCACCAAGAACACACACCTTGTCACGAACACCGGGAGAGAAAAGTAAAATTTACACCCACTGGATGGATGGAAGGAAAACTCAATTTGTTCCCAAAGTCTCTTTAGAGGCTACTCCAAGTGAATGTTCAGCTGGGGCCTCCAGAGAGGCTGGAAGCATGTTTCAACTCCGCCTTCTGTGAACTCGGTTCAAAGACTCGCAGGGGAAACTCCCCAGGTCTCAGCCAGCTGCGAGGTGACAGGGAAGCACGGCCTGCACAGCCTGAGGGTGGGGAACTTGGTCAGGGCGTGCGGAGCTCTGGGCTCCATCCCCAGCACCACAAGTACCCAAGGAAGTACCAAGGGTTTTAGCACCCGAGGACTCTAGTCTTAAAAACACACAGTCGTATCCATGTTTTTAAGGTGGGTTGAAGATCCCAGTGTGCTAACAGAGTACATATCCTTCCACAGTAGAAGGATGGTGTGGAGAAGGACGAAGGTGATGGTAAATAACAACAAATAATAGCCTAGGAATTATTAACGAGCCAGGAGTGGTGGTGCACGCCTATTATCCCAGCACTCCGGATGCTGAGGCAGGAGGATCGTTGTGAGGACATCCTAGGCTACAAAGTGAGCTCAAGGCCAGCCTGAACTGCATAGCAAGAACCTGTCCCAAAAAGACAATAAATAAATAAAGTGATATTGCATAGGTATGTGTCTTAAAATCAGGACCTAGATAAAATGTATTTCTGAATTATGTCCTTGTCTTGATAAAGGTAATATCCTGTCTCATAGGTTTGCTGTGAAGGTTGAGCCAGTCTAAGAAGCATGGCTTTGGAAGACTGAGTGAATGTGAGATACTGTTAATAATTGCTTTGTATTTCTGGGGTTTTTTTGTTTTTTCTTTTTGAGACAGGGTCTCCCTATGCAGTTCAGGCTGGCCTTGAGCTCACTTTGTAGCCCAGGCTGGTCTCGAACTTGCAGCGATCTCCCTGCCTCAGCCTCCCGAGTGCTGGGATTACAGGCGTGCGCCACCATGCCCGGCTTGTGATGTAATTTTAGAAACAGCAGAATGAACAGCACATCTCTCAGTCACAAGCCACCATGCTTGGGGCCTGTTGGGAGTACTTCTTTGAGTCACACTTTTTAGTTCCAATGAACCAGCAAGTTCAGTTCGAATCAAACACAGGACCTTTTTTCCCATGTTGTGGGATGTCTCTTCACTCTGTTGGTGGTTTTTCTTGATGTCCAAAAGCTTTTTAATAACATGAGATCCCAGTTGTTGATTCCTTGTTATAGTTCCTGTGTGATCGGGATTTTGCTCATATAGTCTTTGCCAGCAGATTTAGTGTTTCTGTTTTAATATTTAGATCTCTGATCCATTTTCATTTTAGTTTAGTGCATGGTGAGAGATATGGGTCTAGTTCTAACCTTCAGCATGTGGACAGCCAGTTTTTCCAGCACCATTTATTAAAGAGGCTATCTTTCTTCCAATGGAAATGTTTGACCTCCCTGTCAAAGATAAAGTGGCTGAGTGTGCCTGGAGTTGTTTTTGCATCTGTCCCGTTGATCTGTGGGTCTGTTTTTTTGCCAGTACCATGCTGTTTTTATCACAGTACCTTTGTAGTATAATTTCAAGTCAGGGATTGCGATGCCCCCTGCCTTGTGTTGGCTGCCAAGAACTGCTTTTGCTATACTAGTTCTCTTCTAATCCCAAACGAATTTTAGGATTGTTTTCTCTAGTTCTGTGAAGTATGCTATTGGTATTTTGATCAGGATTGCATTAAATCTGTGTAACACTTTTGGAAGTATGGCTGTTTTCATATATTGGTTCTTCCTACCCAAGAACTAGGGTGTCTTTTCTGACAACCTCTTTGATCTCTTTTTTCAGAATATGGTTGTCTTCAGTGTAAAGACAGGCATTGGGAAGTAGGAAGAAAATGTTCAGATGGGAAGGAGAACAAGGAAGAGGGACAGGGAAGGGCAGGAATGCTAAAGGAAAAAAGAGACTAGAAGGAAAAAATGGAAATAAAGCTTTTGTAAAAAAGGAGAGGAAGGGGGCTGAGGGGAGGGGAGGAGAATGGGAAGAAAAAAAGCAGCAGCAAGATATAGCATGCACAAGTACAAATTCCCTATGATGAATGTGATCACTATGTATATCAAAAGTGTATCAATACAATTTACAAAAAACAGATCCATGACCTTTACTATGAAATCCCTGACAACTTAGCATTGGTATGATCATAAGAGCTATTAATTATTGATTTCTTATCTATGCCAAAAAGTTCTATATTTTTTCTCTACGCCTCCAGACCTGTCCTTGCAGAAGCTCCTGGTTTTCTGTTCCTGGCACTTGAGTATTTCAGAAATGTTTTCGTGGCATCCTTAGGACAAAATAAACACCTGACCATTCTATTTACTATTAAATAATTATTTCTAAAGAACTTAGTAAATATTTATTTCCTAATAAGGTTAGCAGTATGTTGAAGAAATAAAAGTTTTTAAAACTTTGTCATTTTTTATGTACTTGCAACTGTTTACTAAAAGAATATGGTGTGCCTATTGGGCACTGCAAAACTTCTCAAACCTTCCTGCGCTAGACATTTTTGTGGACACCTGCTTTTTAATCACAGCACTGCTAAACCCCAGTTTTGCAAAGACACATCATCAAATGAATGGAGTATGATCTAATGTTGAAAGGTTAAGCCACTCTGACCTAGCAGTCTGCCATGTGTCTAAGAGATGTCACTGCTTTCCTTAAAACTTTAAAACACGCTGCAGCAATCCTAAGGCGTTCTGACACAGTCTGGGAACCACAGACAGAGAGCAGCAGCGGGCCACACTGGTCCAGAGGGAGGGCTCTGCAGCCAGACTGCCACGGCGGAAATTCTGACTGCAGTCACTTACCACCGGATCTGGGCAAAATGACGCCGGACTTTCTTCGTCTAAGTGGGGACACAACTGTGCTCATGCCTGCACACAGTGGAGACTACGTGTTTATTACCACAGCTACTGCCACCAACATGCACCAAGTCAATTTTCCTTAAAGTTAAAACCTGCCAACCAAGACTACTATACCCAGCAAAGCTTCGGAAGTGAAAGAGAACATTTTTCCAAGGTGAGCAGAAGCGAAGAAAAGTCATCAGCAGCCAGAGAGGCTCCAGAGCACAGCCTCAGGGAGGAGTAAGACAACTGACGCTGAGGACAGCGACCACCCCTGCAAGTACAAAACGCACTGGAGCAGATTCATAAAAAAGAAAAAGACCCAGTATCAACATAGGAAATGCCAAACCACAAAGACGAACAACAAAAGAGGAGGACAGGAACAAAGACACACAACAACCAGAAAAAAGCTCACAAAATGACAGGAGTATGTCATTACTCACCAACAATAACCACGGATGCAAAAGGATTGAGTCCCTCATTAGAAGGTGCAGTCTGGCTAAACGGACTTTTCAACAGAAATAGGACCCGACACCATGCTCCCTACAAGAAACGGACTTCACTAAGCAGACACCCATGGAATGAAAGTGAGAGAATGGAAGAAGGCACCATGTAAAATAGACTCTACATCAGAGGCTCCAAGAAGGACACAAAGAAGGCCACCGTGTAACGGCCAAGGAAGAGCTCACCAAGAGAAACAACACTCACGACGGAGGATGCGCCCAACACCGGGACAAAGCGACACAAGCTAACTAGGAAAAGAGACATATGCCAGAGTCCACGTCTGCTCACTTTATAAGGAGAAAGTTAAATCTAACGTATATCTGAGGATTGGGACCTCGCTCAGTGGTGAAGCATTTGATAAGCATGCATGAGGCTCTGGGTTTGATCCTTAGCACTCCAAAAGATGAATTTTTAAAAATGTTTGAGACTCATAACCTACATAAAGCATTTTAATCAAGAATGCAATAAAAAAACTAATATTAGAGATGAAAACTCACCTGTACTATATCCAAAACCATGCCAGCTGAAACCGTTCCAAAACCAGCTAGTAAAAATGGCACCAGTATTTGCAAAGCCATGATGCCACTGGACTCCTTCGGTAATTTGGGGTTCGTTTCCACAATCACATCCTCGTCAGCTTCACTAGACAGATCTTCATCTTGCAACATGGCAGTGGTTTCTGAGGCCTCCCGGGCATCACAGTAATTGTAGTTGGCGTAGTCATCATACTTGGGGCTGCAGCTCGACGGCGTGTGCCCGTTGCTGCTGTGAAAAGCGGACTCGGAGAAGCTGTGGTACGCCAGGTGCTGCTCCGATCTGTCGCTGAAAGTCTGTGTCGCACCTGACAACCCATCTTGCCAAATGCCATTTGCCTTTTTGTGTCTGTCGTCCTGGTTTTTCTGGTAGATCACTGGAACCATACTCAATAGTAAGTTTAAAAATTTATCAGATTGAATTGCGCTTAAATGTAAAGTCCAATCTACAAAACCTCCCCCACTACTCGGAGCATCGCTTGTTTTGTTAGTAGTAGATCTTGCTTTGCTATTGGTCATATTGTCATCACACAGGTCCCTGTATTCTCTAGGCCTCAAGCTTTGTGAACCATGTGGCTGACTCACAAACCGCTGAACCGTGTGTTTAAATTGATCACTTCACAGTATTAAAAGTGTTTCCACTAATAAAGATGTTTAGAAGTTCCACAGAGAGGCTGGATCTGGAAAGAAAAAAAAATTTAAAAACCAGATTGTTTTGATACTTAGATTTTCAGAGTTAAAAGTATAAAATATATCTTAAATTAATCCCGAAGTGCTAATCCTACACTTCCTCAGCTCCAAGTGGAACTGCCTTGTGTCATGTAACTGCTTTGTGTATGGATATATAATACCAAGCTTTTTTGTTCTGTTTTCTACTAGATCTTGGATAAAAATACCTTATTTTTGCTTATTTATGCATGGTCCTCAGCTGACTTGGAAGTTCTACAGTGCGTAAGTTTAGGAAATAAAAGCAATAGCTTCTGTCACTAGCTAGAAGACTAGGAATCAAAGTGCACCACCTTTACATAGGTCAGCACACAAGAAAAGATAAATGATACAGCATTATATTTTAAACATTAACTATTAACTCTTTACAATTTAATATACATTCTGTCATTGAAGTATGAAGAGATAATGGTGATAGTTACTGTGAAAACATTTGGTCTCCATCCTAACACAGTAAGGGGCATTCAGTTCATGTATAAATCGGGGCAGAGTCATATTTGCAGTTCTGACATTAAAATGTATTATAATTGGCTTCAGAATATAACCCGAGAGCTGGGCGTCCTGGTGCATGCTTGTAATTCCTCCCTGTGGAGGCTGAGGTAGGAGCAGTTTGAGGCCAGCCTGGGCTACGGAGTAAGCTCAAGACACAATGAACTACATAGTGAGATCCTGTCTCAAAGAAAAGGTTTGAAAAACTTCCTAAGCAAAATTTCCCCTGCCTTTAAGATGCTCAGTGTAAGAATGTTAGCAGAGAAGGACAGTATGGGCCACTTGTTAGCTGCTTAGTAAGTGACAGCAATCTAACCCATAAGGGAGAGGACCAGGGTCTTTAAAACTTTAGTATCGTGACTGAAGATTTAAATCCTAAGCTCTCTTTGTAAACTACAAAGCAACAAATTTTTACAAAAAAGAGCTCACAACACCGAGTGGTATCGCAGCAGGCATCACTACTCCTCCCGACCTGTTACCCTCACTTCTGTTCCCCACGGAACAGAGGCCCAAGAGCAGGACGAGAGCAGCCTCACAGCCCACAAAGAACAAGCTGCCAGGTCTCTTCTTCCCTCCACGTCGCACGGGGTTCGAGACCAAGGCACAGCGGAGCTGCAGCTGCAGCTGCCGCAGCCACTCGAAGTGACCTGAGTGTGACAAATGGGAAAACTTCTGGCCCCGAAAGCCACTGACTCTGGAACTGCTGGTGGCCATAGCACAACTTAACAAAAAGTGACTCCAAGGAGCATAAAAGAGATTCTGACGCCAGCTCGCTGTCCGGTTTAGCACAGAAGTCTATTGGGCACACATTGCACTTACAGGTCCCAGTTTTTGGTCAAGAAGTTTAAACCGGGCACGGTGGTGCATGGCTGTAATCCCAGCACTCGGGAGGCTGAGGCAGGAGGATTGCTGTTGAGTTCCAGCCCAGCCTGGGCTACACAGGGAGTTCAAGATCAGCCTGCACTACATAGCAAGAGCCTCTCAAAAAAAAAAGAAATTTGAAACAGTGCTTTCCAAGCATTGGAAGCTCAAAAGCCAGAAAAATGTCTTCCCAAATTTTATCAAGTTAAAGACAATCTTTCCCTAAAAAATAAATATACATTTTAACAACAAAAATGTAGAAAGGACAAAACCCCAGACCTACTGAACACATTTGGCTTTACGGCAAATTTCGCTTCATGCCCTGTGAAAGACTTGTCACAGATCACCACTGGTCCTCAGGGCTGTGCCACTAATTTACAGGAAACTACCACCAGGCACTCCTTAGAAACTCAACTCTGGTTATAAATGTTTTAGCACGAGTGCTGAAACTGCTCTTTTTTAAAGTTAAGAAAAAGTGTGTTTTATGTACATGGGCTTACTGAACCAGAACTGTGAGAAAATCTGCCCCTGCAGCAGCGGAGCAAAGTCAGCTGGCACCTGGCAGGCTCTCGGGCAGGGCTGGGGACCGCCAGTCACTAAGAGGGGATCCCACAGTAGTTTCACTGTCGTATCTCCTCATATTCCCAGTATGCATCCCATTTAGTCAAAATCTAAAATCTTGTTGAGCAGGTAGGTATCCTATATTTTTATTAATAAACTAAGAACGACAGTACAATAACACGCATACAGACGCACAAATAGTCTGTAACTCAAGCCGTGTATGTCTATCATGGACTTCATTTTGCCGCTCTGCAAGTACACATTCGGCTCCTTTCTTTTTCTCTTTAGCGTATGTCCTATGTTTATGTTTGCCATTAAAATGCTCATAGTCACAAAACAGAACTCCTGGTGTGGCTAGTTAAATTAGATTTTAGAAAGGGCCTGCCCCAAAACCAAACTTCAGATGACATTACACAAATTATCACTTTGTTTAACAAAAATTATATATTCCTTTGAATAACACTCAGTAAGCACCTCCGTTCAGCAGCTTACTTCATTCCTTGGTGCTGGGATGCTGCCGGGCTGCGCGCGTCACCCGATGCGGAGCTTGTGAACGGAAGCAAAACAACGTGTGCCAACTGTTGCTCGGACACAGCGGCTGTGCTGTGAGCGGGCTATTACGGGAATCACGGAACAGGCGCCTAGAGATGAGGGCTGTGCCTATTTAATATGCTTTTTGCAGTACTTGGGCAGCAGGAAGACTCTACAGCTGCTCAGTCTCCTCTGACTACCCAAATCTGCAGGGTCCGGCAGCACATGTTTGTAATCCCAGCCCTCAGAAGGTTGAGGCAGGAATATCACTTCGAGTTTGAGGCCAGCCTGGACTACCTAGTGGGACCCTGTCTCAAAAAAGAAAATCTTAATCCGACCAAGTTTAAGTCCCTGCCAATTTCCCTCAATGACTAACTCCTCTTACTTTAAGGAAAACTTTAAAAAGACCTTTTAGGCATCAGTTTCATTACTAAACTTCTCAGCTCCTCCATTTCTAGTAAGAACTTCTGCTTTCCTGACGTTCCCTGTCCCCGCACACCCTAAACAGGACTCCCCTTTGGTTCAGTCCCGTTACAACACACGGGACCCCAAGGGGACAGCACGGACAGAGCTCCTGACAGCAGAACTGTAGTGCAGAGCTCTCCCCCACGCACCACACTACTGCTGGACCTGTCTCAGGAGAAAAAGTATCGCTGTGCTACCGTACCTTAAACCTTCTTACATATATCTTAGCCAAAAAAAAAAAAACCAAAGCTGATCATTCATTGATTGTCTTAAAACTAACAAATTTCACGCAAACTACGGTATTTCAAAGAACACTGCTTTGCTTTATCACTAAGCATCGCCGCCCCTATATGAAGTTTATGAAATTTTATTTAGCAATTTTAACTATATAAAAACTTGCTACTAAAAACACTGGTAATTTTTACTTCTTTAATAAAGACTGAGCCATTCTGTGTTTTATCTTCAGCAGCAAGGAAACTTACAGCTACATAGGAAACTCAAATCCTATGCTCAATTTCTTCATCTACTATTATAGCCCTGGTTGTCTTTTCTCTAGTGATTTTGTACTTCTATTTTTTAAAATCCGTATTTCTTGTGTGTTTTTATATGCTGATTCAACACTTCTATATAGCAAGATAGAGTACACAAGAATAAAACGTAATATATTCCCTTACCTGCTTCTCCAGCACTTATAAATCTAAAACAGCCATCTTCAGAAGCAAAATAACTGCAGTTCATCAGCACTTCCACTCAGCAGAAATTATTCAGAACTCATGTAAAACGATACTTTCATATTTTACTGCTTTAACAAAAACTAACACTCTTAGGATTCAATTTTAAAAATGCAAACCCATTCCTGAGATTGACTTAAAACATGTACCTGACTCTACATAAATTAACAAGTTGAAAGTTAAAAGCTTCCAGAATTACAACATACAGAAAAGATGCCAACTGGTCAAAGATTAAGAGGAAAAAGAGAAGCAGGTGTGGTGGTGACACGTGTAATCCCAGCACTCAACAGGCTGAGGCAGGAGGATCACTGTGAGTTTAAGGCCAGCCTGGGCTACCAAAACAAACAAAATAAAAGTGAAAAAAAAAAAAAAAAAAAGGAGAGAAAAGCCAATGGACCAAAGTTTAAAGAAAAACAAAAGAAAGAAAAGTTGTATTACAGCAGTCATTGATATTTTCCTACTAATCTGTCCATAACTCTGTAATGTTTGTATTGTTCCTATCCTGTTTCATAAATGGATCCTTGTTTATTATTATGTGTTTCCTACAACAACCATTGAGAAATATTGAATGATTATTCAGTAGGTCACTCATGTATAGTTCTATTTATATTCTTTAGAAGCCACTTTGAAGATACCTAAGTATAGTATAGCAACTATTGATAATCTCCTGCCTCTTTTGTCTGTAACTCACTATCATTTGTCTGTTTGTTTTCCTGAGAAACTATCTTATAGATAACAATATGTAAAACAATAACCATTGATAATTTCCTACCACTTTGTCTGTAATTTGGTAAGCCCCTCCTATTATTACGTATCCTTCTTTTACTCTTTAAAATAAAAAAAAAAAAAAAAAAAGAAAAGAGCAAGAAAAAAACTGGTCACCACATGTAAGGTTATCTTTAAATTCTACACACTAGGGTGCAGTGTCCGTGGTTCCTCAGAGTATCCTGCCGCTCAGCCGGCACCCTTCTCTGTCCGTGCCTGGCCCCCGCGTCCAGAGGCGCAGCCCCTCCCGGGCTCCATGCCCTCAGGGAGAGGCACACACGGACGACGTGGCTCACAGGGCCGTGGTGTCGGCTTGCTCAATCACCCTGGCACGATACTGGGACAAATGACCCCTCTCCCCCTCTATGCTCCTTGCAACCAAGTCTCTCCTCTACCCTTTGGTTGGGCTGAGCACTTTTTTATTTGGTATCAGTTAAAAAAACAAAGAGCCCTTTACTGGAAGCCAAATCAAAGTCCAAGATGAAAGTGCTCGCAGCCTGCCAGCCAGCTGCCCACGGACGCTCAGCTCAGCCTGTCAAGGTGCCCTGGCT